TAGATAACAAGGCAATGCTCTGGCCAGAGAAAGACACAGTAGGGAGAACGAGCAATTGCAGTAATGGAGCAGTGAAATAAGGAGAAAATACCAAGGGAATAAACAAACTTCCCATTCAGCTTTAGAAACCATGTCCAGGCCTACAGTACTTTTAAAATAGAAAGTAATATTGAAACAAACACTAACTGTGGGAAAATCTCCAGGCAGAGAGACAGGGGCCGCCAGAACCTCCCAACCTGTTAAGGACCATTACTGCCTTGCTGCTCAAAGCGTGGTTCAAGGATAAGCAATTTAAAATTACCTGAGAGTGGCTCGGCTCCTATAGCTCAACCGGCTAAGGCGCCAGCCACATACACCTAAGGTGGCGGGTTCGAATCCCCAGCCCGGACCCGCCAAACAACAATGACGGCTGCAACCAAAAAATAGCTGGGCGTTGTGGCGGGCGCCTGTGGTCCCAGCTACTTGGGAGGCGGAGGCAAGAGACTCGCTTGAGCCCAGGAGTTGGAGGTTGCTGTGAGCTGTAATGCCACAGGGCCCTCTACCCAGGGGGACAGCTTGAGGCTCTGTCTCAAAAAAAAAAAAAAAAAAAAATTACCTGAGAGTTTGCTAGAGAAGTAGGATGTTGGGCCTTATCTTAGATTTGGTCAACCAGAATGTTCATTTTAATAGGATTTCCTAATGATTTATACCCACATTAAAGTTTAAGCAGCACTGGCTCTACTTAAGAAAAACCAAACTAAGGTATTACAAAACAAAAACAGCTACTGCACAAGTTGGGACTCAAGAAGTGGGTAGAAGTCAATTCAACTAATTAAATTATTTGTTGAGGTCTGACAGTATGCCCGGCCCTGAGCTGGGTATTTCAGGAAATGAAGGTACAAGGTTAGCAAGGTTGGTGCAGTGCCCTTGGGGTAGAATGCAGAAAGCACCCATAGGAAGGGAAGACTTTGACCCATGCTCCGATGGGAAGAGGTCAAGCAAAACGTAACAGGGTTTGGTGGAGCAGAAGCCGGAGGGTACAGGGAGATTAGAATCATGCAGCAATTGCACTGACTCTCTGACAGGTAGAAATAGTTACAGGGAAGTGAGGGGGCCTATTCCAGGCAGAGGAAACAGTGTAAGCAAACATGCAGAACTCAGAAAAAAACACTTATTGAGGAAAACACTGCCTTTGGTCTAGAGCAAACTGTTTCCAGCAGACTCCTGACTGAGGAGGAGTCCTGAGACGACTCAGGACTACTAAGGTCAGAAGAGGAGGCCAGTAGAATTTCTAGGGCCCCATTTCATCCACACAAGATTATATTTCAACAGTGGACTCCAACACTGAAAAATAAATTTTGAACTGTATCACTGAGCCTATTCATAGGGTGATTTTGAAATGATAACCCAGAACTGTGCCAGGTGTGTAGAGGCACTCAGATATTCAGTGATTAAATTAATAAATGAATGAGTGGATCAATCAATGAGATCAAAGTAAAAAACGCAGAGCTACTTTGGGGCTGAAATGCAGAGAGTCTTAACTTTTTGAAAAGAGGTTTGTTTATATGTCATTTGGTCAAGTGCTGGGGCTGGGGAAAAGTTTAATAGGCAGTGATCGAACTTGGCTCTGCCTTGGGAAGCTTACTCTGAAAAACCTACTGTTAAATGAATTGAAAATGGACAGATTAGAGATGGGAAACCTGTCAAGAAGCATCGTGGCAGTCTCTAGAAAGAGATAAGAAGACTGAACAAAGACAATCGCCATGGGAATAGAAAGATGAAGAAGCAGGCATCATGAGGCATTGTGGAGATGGAGTCTGTAGATTTGTTTGCAAATTACACGTGGAAAGCAAAGTCACTGGGAAGGTCCTCAAAGGCTAGGAAAAATAGGAAAATTGACACACAGACACAGAGTCACTCTGTTCATTTAGGAGAAAGATGTTAATTAGAGTTCAGACACATTAAAGCTGAGGCATCTGACATCAATAAAAAACCATCTCTTAGGTGGTTCAAAATGTAAATATAAAATTTAAGAGGGAAAGCAGAGCTGGGATGTCACTTTGGGGGGAAATAATTTAGCACTAATAAAAACAGACACCGCTGAATACAAAATATCATACAAAAGGGCAAAAAAAGGGAGATAATCTATAATCTATGCAGCAACAAAAATCAAAAGAAATCCCCAGAATTAAAAAAAATAATAAGGAAGAAAAGGTTAAAAGACTACATTGAAACACAGGAGGAACAGTGACAGAAACAGGGGGTGGCAAATGAAATAGTGTGGAGGGGTTATAATACAAAACCAGAAGCACATAAAAAGCCACGGGAAACTGGGACAGGCACACACACTCACTGTTCTTTAGACCTTTGAAGACTTAGAATCCTATAGGAACAGCAGAAAGCCAATTTTGCTCTTTATTTCTGTGAACAAAAAAAAATTCCCACAAATGAAGCAGTCACTCCGGTGAGAAGTTAGCTAATTGCTCATGGTTTTTTTTTGTTTTTCTTTTTTAATATAAATTGTTGCTATATTGTTAATATAATTGTTAATATAAATTGTGTTAAAAATCACACAACAGTATCTTCACATTCAGTGGGAAGAAAACGTCTAGGGGGGATTGAATGGTGGGTAATCCAAGGACTTAAGAGCCTGGTCTTTTTCAGTGCCTAACTCCACACAGCATCATTCTGTGCAGGCATTTCACCTTTCAGTATGGTTTGTTTTGAAGGTTTTTTTTTTCCTCTGTGCCAGGTCACTTGCCTGAGAAAAAGAATGCTGAGAGCACCTGACATACTTTGATAGATCCTCATAAAATGGTTGTACTTTGTAGTTACCCACCAGCTCCGGATAGATCTCACTAATGGGCTGTGTTTGGGTGACAAGTAATAATGAAAGTTCCTTCCCAGGTTGACCATAGAGGAGACACCTCCATTGGTTTCCTTTCTGCCTCAGTTCAAAATGGATCCATTAAATGTCCTCTTTTTGGTCTCTCAATCTGTTAAAATGCTGTAGAACATCGACATTATTTTTAATATACAGGACAGTGGTTGTTAAACTTTCTATAAAGAGATGACTACTTATGTAATGTAAAATAATATAATGCAAGTAAGTACTTAAAGAATTACACTGCAAAGTATTAATATCACCAGCATGATTCCAGAAAGGACCATAATGTTTCCTTTATTAGGAGAATTCACCTTCCCCAATGTGTTTCACTATAAATGCATGCAAGGGAGGTCAAGGAGACCTACAAGAATAGCTACTTGATTTGTGGTTGTCATCCCAAGCTTCCTCAGATCACTTTTGGAAACGGGTAAGAGTGTGAATTATAAATCCACAAATCATTTATAGGAATACAGAATCTGAAAAAACAACCAACACTTTGATCAAATGAACATTGTTTTCATCTTAAAAGCCTCAAGTACCAACATAACTTGCAATGCAGTATTTTGCATTCTCGAGGCCTTTATCTACCTACCACAGGGAAGGGGCGGCACATGCTCAGTGCACATATGGCATCAAAATAAAATTAAAAGACTGAAAACCGGTGAAATTAGACCCTGAAACATTTAGGGAAGTTCCTTCCAGCCAAAACCTTTATCTAAGATGTATCCTACTGGCTTTGTGGAACGGCTTTTTTCCTTTAATTAGATAAAGGTATTTCCACAGTTTGAGGAACTGCGTGGAAGCTGCAGTTTGCCGGTTTCCACACTTTAGGTAAGGCCACATAGCACAAATACTTCCTTCCTTCTATATGAATGTCTATGGCTACGTCTTGACAAAGTTTGCATTCACCTTGGTGTGTTGCTCCTCAGCAAAGCAAAACCAAAAGGAACTATAAACCTCATCTCTGTGTGAAAAGGAAGACAATGAAGACAGATATTCCCCAATTCAAGAACTTTTGAGAGCATTCCAAAACTGCGTTTATTTTGCATTCGTGGGGTGGGGGGACTTGGCAACTAATTTTCCCTGAAGGACCCACAGCACTCCCCATCCAGGTCCACATAAAAAACTGTTTGTCCTCCAAAGTCTGAGGAAGCATTCCGGGGAAGCATCGTCCTGCCAGCTCTCTCTTCTCCGAACGGGCCCCCGCACAGAACAGTGGCGAAGCAGATGGTCCTCCCCCTTCTCTGCTCCTAGTCCCTTCCGCAGTCCCACAGTGTCCTCCCACCCTACGCTGACACCTTCACTAGCGTTTAGGAGCCAAGGCCGCCTCTCAGGGCTCCCAGCAAGTACAAACTTCGGGGACCTCCTTTCTGCCTGATCACCCCATCTCACCTTCCTTCAGCTGCAGAACTCACCCGGTACCCCAAGCTGCGACTGCTAGCCTCCTCTCATACCTCTGTCTCCAAACTACCCATTTCCCTTTAACAAATAGAAAACCCAAACTTCCCAGCTCAGGTAGCAGAGGCGCTGCGGCTAACCACAGCGGGGCACTCTCCTCCTCGTCCTTTCCCCTTCTCCGTCCTCCCCTTGCGTCCTTGGGAACCGGAGCCTACTCTAGGGACTCCTCTGCTCGTCTGGCTTCCACCACCCACTCCTAACTCCAGCGGTTCGCAGGAGCCTGTCCTCTGCAGCCTGGGGAGCGGCGCCTGGGCGCCTCCTCTACAAGTGGGACCGCAGGACAAAGTGCAAACTCTATGGGGAGGGGGTGGGGGGCTCCCGGCCATTCCCCGGGCGGCGCGCCCAGGTGCCCGCTGGCTCCGCGGAAGAGGGCGTGGGCCGGGCAGGAAGGCGGCGCCGTTTCGGGGGCGCGGGGCTGGGCTGGGCGCCCAGAGCTTACCTCGGCGCGCGGGCCGCGGGCGCGCGGGGCAGTGGCTGCTCCGGTCGGGAAGCTGTTGCTCACGCTCTGCTGGTTGCGGCGGTCCCGCCAGGGCTGCGCTGGGGCTTCGCGCAGACGCTCTCCCGCGAGCTGCTGCAGCCCGGGCGGTGGCGGCGGCAGTGGAGGTGGCGCCGGCGACAGCTTGGCCAGGCGCGGCCCCGGAACTGTCCAACTCTTGCCGGCGCGGGGCTGGGGCGCCCGGCCGCGGCCCCCGCGCTGAGCGCCTGCGCGCCCGGCCTCGCCCAGGTGAGGGGCGTGTGCCCCGGGCCCGCGGGGTGCGCCCGCCTGGCCCCTGGCCTGGTTCGGACGCGCCCACGCCACTCTCGCGCCCGAAGCTGTGACGGTTTACCGAGCAGACACTTGCGAGGCACATACACCCGGGGGAATGAGGCGGGACCGTTTGGGGGCTCGTTGACACTGCAGAGCCTCCCGCAGCATCGCTGCCTTAAATCCCGCCTTTCCAGGCGTGCGCGCACCGCGAGGGAGAGGAGGCTCGGTCCCCGCGACGGGGTCCAGCGCCGTCCTCAGCCCCGGGCTTGCGTCCCTCGAGAAATTGTTGGCAATGGCAGAAGTCCCAAAACCGAGATGCCAAGCCGCGCGGTGGGGCGGATGTCTCACATATTAGTCAAGCCAGAGTGAAACTCTCTTCGTGGAGATAGGCAGACCAACTAGTATTTGTTTTTCCTCTTGACCAGCTCTGGGCTCGCCGACCACAGCGAGCAGCCTGGGCGTTTTGGGCCGAGGCAGGAAGGCCCGCGGCGCGGAAGGCATCGCAGCCTCGCCGCGGATCTGAAAGACTCGTGGGCGGGGGGCTCATTTTCCTCCGGGTTTCTTTTCCGTGTTTAAGTTTTCAGAAATAAAACATGCCATCGGTTACCCTGATGTAAGGAGGGCATCTTCTGAAAACAGTGCAAACGTGCCTAAGGTGCTTGCATCTGAAAAGGAAAGCACTCAGAAAACATTTAAGAAAAAAGGAAAAATAATTTTAAAGGAGCAGTTTTCTGAAATTACTTCTTGGGGGAGAAGTTGAAGCCATAAATGGCAAGAGAGCTGTGTTCTACAACAGGGATTTTTTCTTTTTACAAGATGATTTTAAAGTATTATTCTTTGGTTCTCCTGTGATTGACACTGAGTCCTTAAATAATTAATCCCGCAGCTGTTAATGTCTTGGCGTAGTCCAGAGTAAATATCTTAGCGTCCAGCCAAAGCCTATTCTCCAGGGTGGGCTTGAGATCTGACACACACGCATACTACCCTGCAGCTTTCTAAAGCAGCAGTTGTGTTTATGGGCCACCTTGGAATTTAGGGTTATGGCAAGTGCCAGCACCCCTAAGGTACCAGCGTGAGAAAGGGCATAAATCCAATTTACAGTTTTTGTGTTTTTAGAATCCAAATACCTTCACACCCAGGTAGGCAGTCTCATTTATTACTAAGGACAGATACTGACTGGTATGCTAATTCTTAAAACCGTACCCTAGCTGAAATTGCCGTAAGAGGCAAGCACCAACATTTAATCATTGTATTACAAAACAATATAAGTCATGATAATTGCTTAAATTATCTTTTAAAATATTATAATCTTAAAGTCTCTTCCCATTACTAAAGGTTATATTGAAAACGAGTCTTTCATGAGTCCCTGAAGGTCAGTAAACTGAAATGTTAGCAGATAGGAATTCCAGAGGCAAAGCCTTCAGCGAGAGGAACACTTCAGAATTGGGAACAGTGTGGTTGTCACAGTGATAGCCCCTGAGCTCAGACAAGTATTGGAGTCTCCAGGATTCTACGTTGCAGAGAAAGGCTGAGGGCTCCTGAAGGCCTCCAGTCAACACCTTGGATTGCACTTGGAGGCAAATGAGTAACCTTTGCAGAGTGGAACACCTGTGAGAAGTGTTCCCTGTGGTTTGCACAATTTAGCAGCATGTGCATTTTTTATGTCCTGCAAACTGCAGCTATATTCTTCTCTCCTCTCTATTTTTAATCACCTATAGCTAAGACTTAGGATAAAGAATAATTTGAGGGTTGCATTTCCTTACAGCTGAAAGAAGCATAAAATACATACAAGCAGAAGACTCCTAAATTTTCACCTGTGATCTAACTTCGTGTCCTCAACCCAGGCAGGATTAGGGCCTCTGGGGGCCCATGCACCAGAACAATAGCAGTGCCTCCCCTCTAACTGCACATCAATATGGAAACAACAGTAAGCTAAAAAACACGAGATTTAAATGTATAGACAAAATTAAAACAGACTCTCTCTTGATTTTCTGATTGTAAACTTGACCTATTGGATAATTTGGCATTGACAATGCCTTTCCAGCGCTATCTGTCCTCAGCCCTGCCCATTTTCCTAGAACCATTGTTGCTCCTCTCTGGAGATAGTGGAGTAAACTAACTCAGAGAACTGTAGGCAGGATAGCAGCACACCTGCAGGCTAGCCCAGCAAGGAGTGGCTCCGAACACCAAGAAAGAACTTTGCAGAAAGAGATTAATTAAAGCCTTTTTCTACTTTTTGTGTTTATCAGGCAAATGATACATTGGTTCCTAAATGTTAAAGTCCTTAAGCAGACTTAAGACCTCTTTAAATTGTACCTATAAATTCACACTTTCAAGTAAATAAAGAACTTGATGATAATATGTACCACATCAACTAATTTGAAGACTTCATAGATCATTTACATTTACTATATAAAAGTGGAAATGAGTTTACACATAAGATGTTATAAAGCAAGATCCTACAGACATTTTGGATCACTTTGCAGCCATCAGCAAGCCCCTGGTCTCCAGGTTGGGGGTTCTATTTTGAAAACTATTCTTGCCGTGGAAGAAAACTGGACTAGGAAGACCTGCATTCAACTTTTGGCTGTCACTTCTAAGTCTAGGTGTTTAGTTCTCTAAGACAGGACTGCTTATATCATCTTTGTCTTAGAGATGACTGTAATTCTCAAAAGCCATAGTGTGTGCAGTCTCTCTGGAGACTGTAGGAACATCAGGTACCATTGGTTGATGGCTGTCTTGCTCATATTTCTCTTTCCTCCATTATTTTTGTGGTATCTACTAACTTTCCTTCAATGTGTCTTATAAATCCCATTTCGTTTTTCTACCAAGAATATTCTCCAATAACTGTACTTTTGGATGGCTCCAGTGTAATGGTAATGAGGACAGCATAAGCCCTGTGTTGGATGAGCAGGGCTTGGTTTCTAACTTTGTATTTATTTACTTGCTGTGTGACACTTTGCATTCCCTCTAAACTTCAGTTTCTTCACCTTTAATATGGGAAAATAAATATTTCTTCCTCATCAGGGTATTCTAAGTATACAAAGCAAATGGAAAAACATTTTGCAAACTGTGAAACACAGACTTGTTAATTATACTTTACTTTAATAATTACTTGGGAAGTAAATAGGAGGCTTATCTCCATATTTGCCATTAAGGTTTAAAGTGCATTTGAGGGCAGCGCCTGTGGCTCAGAGGAGTAGGGTGCCGGCCCCATATGCCGGAGGTGGTGGGTTCAAACCCAGCCCTGGCCAAAAACTGCCAAAAAAAAAAAATTTTTTTTAAATAATAATAAAGTGCATTTGAAATACAAAAATAAAAAAGAAAAAGAAACAAATCATGTCCAAGACTTTTAGAGCAACTAGATAGAAGATAACATAAAATTTTGTCAATAGGCTATTAAATTATATTTGTTTATAAGTGTGTGCAAATATTTTGAAAATGTCAGAAAATATTGTACAATATTTTATTTCAACTTTCACCACGTTGTGAAAATTAGTGGGGTAAGTATTTTATAACATTCATGTTTAACAGCCCTAACTCAGGTTCAAAGAAATTTATATTTGTTGAAAACCACTTTTCATAATTGTTTTAAGGAGATACGCCCACTCAAGATACATAATGATAAATTGTAACAAAAATTTTTGAGGTTTTTTTTTTTGATCATTTAATTTTCAATATCTTGGTCAGAAAAGGATTACTGTATTTAAAATAATTAGTATTTTATTATGTACTTGATTAAAAAATAATATAATTGATAGATCTTTAAGGTTAATAAGTTGAATTTACGTAGTAGTTCCAAATTTGACATAGATTAGTTTTTTCTCTAATTAAAAAAGTATTTAAAAAGTAGACATTTATTTTAATTGGAAATATTAAAGTTATTTCTGAGTATTTGATTTGTGTTTTACATTTTAAAATCTGACTTTATCACCTTTAAAATCAAACTGTAGATCTGATTTTAAATACAGATACTGTAGTATCTGTATTCGGAAGGTGAATGGATATAGCACTCGTTAAATCTCAAGCTTACTTGAGGAGCTATGATGTTCTTTTTTTTCTCCCTGTCTTGAGGGACTGTTTTTATGTGAATCATTAGTATTCTTTGGAAAAGAATTGTCCTCTCGGCCTATAATTATTTTTTGACTGGAGATTGAGTTCTCTTTCATCTTCCTTTTTTATCTGACTACTCTCAGCAGAGAAGGTTCATGTATTTAAATTCCTTGCTCACTAATACGTCTTTCTTTGTTGCATTGAACACGTTATGACTTATCTTGATATTCTTAGATTCATTATTTACACATTTTTCCCAAGTGTGACTGAGCTCTGTTTGTTTTCACCCATTCCTCATAAAAATTTATTTTCTTGAGATCTGGCAGAATGGATGCTTTGCTGTGACATTGTGTTCCTTCTGTGAGACAGTAATATCTTTTGTGTCCAGAGGTGATCAATGTTGTAAAGGTATTCCTTCTAGACCCTGACCATGGCTTTACAATAATAACAGGGCCTCTTGTTATGCATCTGTCCCTTTGAAACCTAATCCAGCACAGCCTCCAGCCCCAAGATGAAGGCTGTACCAATTTCACAATACCCCCAAATCCTTTCCTGATTAGATTGCAAAGTGATTACCCTGGTTAGCACATATTCCCCTGTTTGGCTCTTTGCTCTGAGATAAATATAAAATAATTAATCTTCTTTGAACTGCATTTGCAATTTTGATTTTTTCTTTCACCTTTTATAAATGTGAATGTGGTAATACTCTTTTCAAAAATGTTGAATTATTTTCTAGGCTCGGTTCTTTAGCTTGTTCCCTTGTGCATTTAACTCCCAACTGCCCAGAACTGTGAGAGCTCTCCACTGACAAGTACCTTGGGTTTCAGACTGTATTTTTAGAATAGTTTCCATTTTAACCTATGCCGTAATTTTAGATAAATTATTAGTGTTGAACTTACTGTGCTGAATAATTTTCAAAAATTTTTAGTGTCGGAATAGCCAACACTTATCCCTTCTTAACAAATGCTGTGTGCAGATAATGCCCACGTGCATTGTCTCATTTTATTATTCC